TCAGTTATCGGGATTAAAGCTAATTTATTTCCGTTATGCAGTAATACACATTGCAAACTTTTTTTGAGCTATCTAGGAAAAGTTGCTGGTTTTTTAGTTGGTATACTCTTTTTGGTCGTTAAGATATGGAAGAAAGTCGCGCTCTATAGATTGTTTTTACTCTGACTATTTAACATTTCAACATCATCATAGCAATCCTCTAATAAGGAAGTAAATACAGTAAACCCTCTATATAGCGAACACCGATGTAACGAAATTGTCGTTATTGCGAACCAAAATTATGCCACAAATGTCCAACACATTTTATATGGCACTTTTTTCATTATAATGAACTACGAACAATTATTTCATCCGTAGAATATAATTTCAATGCAAACTATTATCGCAATTGCGAACACGAAAATTTTCCTTGTCTACTCAGTCTAGTTCATATTCCAGCTAGTTTTTAGTGTTTAGCTTTGGAAATGGACGAGTTACGACTTACTTGCTTCGCGAACGTTTCGGGTTGAAGCCAAGATGTGTCAAGATATTTTTAATATTGATGAGACTGGTATTTTTTTAAATCTAATGCCAAACCGTACTTTGGATTTTAAATTCAAAAAATGTTATGGGAGCACTAAAAGCAACGAAAGAATAACAGCAATTTTATGCTACAATGCTGACGGAAGTAAAAAATTAAAACTATGGATAGCAGGAAAATCAAAAAATCCAAGATGTTCCACTCAGTCTCACCAACCTGAGAATACTAAGCATAACACTCGACAGAACCCTAAAATTCTCTGCCCACGCCATCAAAGTGAAGATGAAAGTGAAAACTCGCGCCAAGCACTTCATATCCCTGTCATCCAGAGGTCGCAGAATTTCCACAAAATGCGCCTCGCACATTTACAAATCCATGTGCAGACCAATTATAGAATATAGATCTATACTTCTAACCGACGCGCCTAGAACATTAAGACACTATTTAGAAGTCGCAGAAAGATCGGCATTGAGGTCCATAATACGAATAAGGAATCCCCAAAATCCTCTTTTCAACCCTAGCAATGATCTCCTTTATAACCTCACTAATATCCCTCCCATTACCTTCCGCCTACAATCTTTATCTCATAAAACTACCCTAAATTTCCCTACCAATCTTCTCCACCATATACTTATTATCCCTAGACTAAACCACCTATCTGACCGCCCATCACTCCTTCAAAAACTGTTGATGAACAGCGAATACTGAAGCTGCCGCTAACTAGAACTTGCATGGGCAGAAAGAAACTTTTTTGTATTTATATACTCCTTCTTTTTTAATGTATTTGTATTTTTTCCACCTAAAAATAAAATTTGTTTTCTCTCTCTCCAAGATGTTTAAATAACGTTTCCATATCGTTTCCATTTGCCATGCCATTATACCGCTCAGAAAAATGCCTGGGTAACTTCTGTAGCATTTCGATAATGGCTTCTTCGTTTTCAACGCAACATGGCAGCTCTAAATAGAAAAGTATTGCTAACAATGGACAATTGGTTCAGCACATAACGTTATGGGAATTGATTTGCGCAATGTTAAGGTCGTTTATTTTATGGCTAACAGAAGAAGTGCACTGCAACCTCTATATCAAGGCATAATTGCGGCTATGAAGAAACGATATCGTGCACGACTTGTTAGAGCAGTAGTTTTGGCAATAGAATCAAACCAAGAAAAGCCAAAATGGAATATTTTACAAGCGATGAGAGCGTTGTTAGATTCGTGGTGTAGCTCGTTAGTAGCTTTTTACTTATATGCTTTACTCATTGATACGCTGAATTTGCTGATGTAGAATGGGAAAATTATCAACAAATTTTGTCAGTTTAACTGATACAGATTAGTTTTAATGATTACGTCAGCATTGATGGTGCGATAACGACTACAGAAGCAGTAGACATAGAGTAGTGAATGTAGACCAAGAAACCGAAGAAAAAGAAGAAGGCGAAGAACACGATGAAGAAAAAATTAGTATAATCGCACCTTCAAGAGCTGAAGTTTTAGCCGCTCTCTTACAATTCAAAGGTAACACAAATATTATTAATTATCCAACAATGTAATTATTAACATCACAATTTCAAGATTTGCTGATTCAGAGGAGAATGTTTCCGAAAATTTCATGGATTCATTGAATAAAATTACTGAGGAATGCCTAAGACGAACAATGCCCATTCTGAGGCAAAAAATAAGTGATTATTAAAAAAAAAAAATGTTTATTATGATCTAACGTTCTTATTATATTAAACTTAGTCGATGCTAATATGTTTACGTAAACCTATACCTGGATATCGCAAATACGAACATCTCATTACGCCCTATACGCGTTCTACTAAATCATTTATGTTCCTTCGTTGCCTTTCTTGGCAAAATTTACCACATATGTAGTAGAAATGATCGGTGTATTAACTCAAGATTTGCGTGAAAAACTCATACGTTTTGTAACAATAACGCTCAATAAATTAAATAATATAATCAATTGAGATCTTTTAACACTCAAAAATTATGAACAAGGTGCTATTCGTTAAAATCGTGGGCAACAATAAGAATTTATCACGATATATTTCGAAAAATGTTTTGATTTTTTTGTTATCCTGTGATATATATAATCCGAGGCAGCCTTGCTGCCGAGCCCGTAGTTTAAATATTACAAAGTAATAAGTAACGGTTTTTCTTCAGTAGTAATAAAATATTCTAATCCGAGGCAGCTTTGCTGCCGAGGTAGTAGTTCAAGTTTTATAATGCAATAAAGAACAACACATCAAATTTAACAAAACATGCAAATCAGAAGAATTGATTCCAAAATTTATGAATTTATGAACTACAAATTTTCTAAACCTTTAACTTCAACTTAAATTAAATTTATACACAAGCATCACCTAAATAAAGAAATTAGAAATCACTATAAAAAGGTAGACTTCATAAATAGAAAGTTTAATTTCATTTACAATGTTTTAACATCAAAATTACACTTTATCGAACTACAAGAGGTAGTCAAATAAATACATACTGTGATAAATTTTAACATCTCTTAGTTCACCGAGAGAACATAACCTTAAAATTGTGACAGAGAGATTCTTTGTTGGTAAAAATCTTATCTTAAACCGTTTTGTTTGCTTCCAAAAGTATCAATTATTATAGTTCAGCTCCTAAAGCACATTTTTCATCCATTCCTTAAGGCCGCCGTTCAATGGCGATTTTTATATGAACCGACACTGGTTCACTCGGTGCAGCTTCCCGGCTTTCTCTCACATCTTTATTCAAAACTAAATACATAGGATTGTTGTTAACATATTTCTGTACAAAATGACGTATTTTTTGTTGTAAAATAATTATACTGTTAATCATAAAAAATTACTAAACTTTGCCATAAAAATGAGTTCGTATATTGCGATTTATGTGAAAAGTATACACTTAAACGGGAGAACAAAGGTGTCATTTTTTGCGCATATGTTATAGGAATAGATTTCACGCTAGTACAAGCGCAGAAAAGTTGCCATTATCGCGGGAAGCTGCACCAAGTGAAAATGTGCGATTTCCTCAATATACACTAGATTGTGTAAAGAAATCTACCTAAAATCGGTAGATTAAGACATTTTAAAACTTTGGTAATCGTCTCATAGAGGGTACTTTTTAAAATTTTTTTTAACTTCAATTGTAATACTAATGTAATACTAGTATTGTAAAATAACTGATAATAAGAAGGAATAATAAGAAAAGGTTAAAGAAAAGAACTGTTATATATTCCATTTTATTTGTTAATTGTGGAAATCTGTAAAACTAAGTTAATACAAGATAAATATTACTTGAAAATAAATGAAAACTAATACGGAGAAAGAAAGTGATGTAAATGCTATATACTTGCGTTAATTTAAATTAATAATTAGATTAGACCTTGAACATTTTTTAATTAAACCTAAATTTTTAATTTAATAATATTGTAAATAAGTAAAACCTCATTGAACTAAAATTAGAACTAAAACTAGAACTATCACTAGAACTGGTCAACTTCGAACCAGTTTCTGAAGAAGGTTGCAACATGGCATCCGAAACGTCAAACCTTTTCTTAAAAGACGCACGGCAAAACCCGAAAGTTTCTAGTGTTAGTTCTAGTGTTAGTTCTAGTGATAGTTCTAGTTTCAGTTCTAATTTTAGTTCAATTCACACCGGCCGTGAAAGCCTTCGTACTTATATAAGTAAAACCTCGTTTAGACGAACTCGGTTAACGCGAACACCTCGTTATCACGAACAAAGTACTGGTCCCAAGCAATTTGTTACCAAATCGTATTACTTTTTGCTCGGTTTAGACAAACTTCCGTTTATACGAACTGCGAACTAGATTTTATATCCCAACGTACAATTTTGTTCGGATAATTCGAATTCGATCAAAAACAATCGAACACTAAAGACGATCGATAGCGAATTCATGACCACGTTTAAACATGTTTTAACGCAAAAAATTTAAATCTTAACACAAAATGTCGTCAAAGCAAAACAAAAAAAGAAATAACGCAATTGATATTAAAACAAAGAAAATGATTTTGGATGAAGTAGATAAATCTGAGTTAACTAAAACAGAAATAGCAAAAAAGTTCGAAATTAATCGACTCTTTCTACAATCATTAAGATACGTGAACAAATTATTGGAGCCATTGCAAGTAGTTCATTTTCAACGAAATCGAAGCGAATAAGAACTGCAAAATATGAAGACGTGGAATATGAATTATTGGAATGGTTTAATCATATGAGAGCTTCTAACATAGCGCTTTCAGGACCAATATTACGTGATAAAGCTAAGAAAATTGCAGCGACATATGGAATTGAAAATTTTGAATGTTCTTCAGGATGGCTATAGCATTTTCAACAACGTCACAACATGGTTGGTTTACAAATGTGCGGTTAGTCAGCAAAAGTAGATGAAAACTTCGTAAATTTGTGGTTATCAAATTTTATAACCGTTAAAAATTCATACGCCCCACGAGATGTGTTTAATATGGATAAAAGCGGAATTTTTTACAAGTTAATGCCCAACCGTACCTTAGGTTTTAAAGGAGTACGTTTTCACGGAGATGCAAAAAGTGAACAACTGGTGACTGTGGTTTTATGCTGTAATTCGGATGGATCTGAAAAGTACAAGGCGTGGGTAATAGGAAAATCGCGTAACCCACGATGCTTTAAAAATGTTGATAAATCACATTTACCGTGTGATTATACTCATCATGTGTCATCGTGGATAGATGCTCAAGCGTTTCGAGAATGGCTACTCAAACTAGATCAGAAGATGATTGCCCAACATCGTCATATTCTTTTAACTTTAGACAACTGTGCTGCACATAAAACTGAAAACCTAAACTTATCTAATATCACGGTGTATTTCTTTCCGTCCAACACTACAAGTCGATTGCAGCCACTTAACCAGGGCATAATAGCTAATTTTAAGTCATTTTACAAGGCAAAACTAGTGAAATTTGCTATTTTTGCTATTGAAAACAATGGAAATGTTAAATGGGGTTTGCTACAAGCTATTAAAGCAATAGGTTCGTCTTGGAATGCAGTTAATCAACAAACAATTAAACGTTGTTTTAATAAAACATGGCCGAACACTGATTTAATAGATGAAGAAAATTTTGATATGTTACCACCAGCACCCAGAGAATGGACTGTTTTACAAGAGATACAGCCACTTGAAATTTCATTTGAAGATTTCGTTAATGCCGATAACGATTTGGCCATTTGTCTAGAGCCAGTCCTGAGCACTTTTGAAGATAGCGATAACGACATTCCTGTTCCTACAACTACATACTTGTCATCTGTAGATAGTGATGAAGGTAATGATCATCTCCAGCCCACCAGAGAAGAAGTTAATGCCGCTTTACGAATTTTAGCTAGATTCTCAGCAACTATGAATGTAAGTGAGCAATTTGAAAATTGTTTGGAAACAAGTTCCACTGAGTGTGCCATTAAAATGGCTTCAGAATTAAAGCAAAAAAACATTACTGACTTTTTTAAAGTCAATAATCAATAGTTTAGTTTTATGTCATAATCGATAACTTTTTACATTTACCTAGTTATGTTTTCATATAATAAATAATAGTTCATTCATTAATAAAAAAATATTCGATAACAAAAAACTTTTTTTTTATTGTTTACTCGGTTTATACGAATTCGTTTACCACGAACTAGTTATTCTTTCGACCCTTCGAGTTCGCTCTAACGAGGTTTTACTGTAATATTATATTGTATAAAATATTGAAATAAAAAAAGTCAATAATATTGATATCAAATTAACTTTATTTTATATTTTTTTGTTAAGGAGGCGTATGTTCAACCTGTCCAAAGAAAATGTTATTTACATATAAATTATAGCTTAGTAACACTTTTTCGAAACATTTTCACTGGAGATGAAATAGGCATGAAATAGATTAGAAAGAAATTTTTAAGTTGAAGACAGATAATAAAGTTTTAGTATCAAGTATAAATAGATGGACTATTTATAGACCATCACAATATATCATCTAAAATTCCATATCGTCGGCTTAGTAAGAAAACCGCGTAACTCCATTTCAGAAAATTTTACAGGAGACAGAAAAAACTGAATTTTTTTACATTGACAGTCCTAGTTATGTACTTTTTATTTTAAGCATTTGAGCGGAAACGTGTATTTCAATATACGCGAAGTTTTCGGAATTAGTAGATTTAATAATTTGTTACATAATTACATCAAAATCTTATTTTTGGTAAAAATTAGAGTTACGTGGTTTTCTTACTAAGCCGACGATATGCAACTTAAAATAACATCAAAGTGTGAAAACATTATCTAATTTTACAATAAGAAGCTGCGGTTACACTACTCCATTGAAAAATTTACACAGTGCGGAAAATATAGTTTTACGAAATTTTTATTGTATTTCTTACAACATCCTATAACGAATTTTACTAGCATTTTTATCAGTGTATAACAGTTAATGATAACAATTAATTTTTATTATTCAACAACATAAAAATACTGTCACCGATACTTTGAGTCCCATGGCAGAAGAAAAGCTAGGACTAATCATCGATATACAGTAACTAATCAATTTGCAAGAAGAAATTTTCCATACCTGGCGCAGAAATTCAATTTCTAGGCCGTTTGCCCAAGAAATCTAATAATTAAATATGTTGCTATTTTTCCGTTTGACATGATCCAACTACAATATTCTGAAAATAATGGTTTTGGACAATTAACCTTTTCGAATAAGATATTAAATATAGATACCCGAGCAAGATAATTAAAAATTTCTGATGGTGACCAGAATCAGAACACATAACACCGCGTCTTATAATAACAATTGCATACTAAAACTTCAGGCATAATTTTTTCCGATACAATCGCAACCGATTACTCAAAAAAATAAAAAATCTCATCTGCTTTGTTGTCGGTTCTACAATTTCTGGAAGCATATAATCTTTATAAAATGATGTTAATTTTGGCAAAATTTTGTCATTCCATAAATCTTCATCCTTTTCAATCATTTCAACAAACAAGAGGTTCGAATCGCCACGTTAAGGAAAATACTAAAGAGACCAAAAAGTACCACTAAAGAATGTGCTTATAACCCATATTTTTTTATGTTAATATTACATAGCGTTAAAAAGTTCTTATAAAAGAAATCAAGGGGGTGGTGAATTGCATTCCCTTAGAGGGCGCTAGGGAAGTTTAAGGTATGGTTGAAAATAAGGTATTAACCAGTAGTACATACATACAAAATTTCAAATTCTATGGTTTACTTATACCCGAAATAAAAGATAAAATGTAAATTTTTGGCTCAACTTTGACAGCTCATAGCTGGAAAACAAAAGAGTTGCGACCCTATGTTTATATAAAAAACTTGTGTTATTTTGGCAAGTAGTACATCCTAGTAAAGTTTCCCGATTAAAAACTGAACCACCGGTATATGGCCAAAAGTCTGTTTCCTGTGGAATTGGGTCGAAATTGTTTAATATTGTTGTAATATATTGTTAATGTTGTTAGGATTTAATACTGGTAAAAAAAAAAATTTTTTAACCAAAATTTAGGTAATAGAAATATTTGAAAATACCAATAATTGAAAATAAAAATGAATTGTTTAAAAGTTAAAATGTAAAGTTATGAAAATAACACCAACTATAACAATATTAACATTTCGCCAAAAAAAAGAAACCAAATAATGTCGAGAATAGGAATCGCGTAAGACTAAACCGGACTATATTCAACAACGAGTAAAATTTCTCAACGGTAGGATGACTAATTGTAAGCTGATATAAAAAAGCATCGCTATGAATAACTGAATTGAACTCAGAACGACCTCTTTTAACCAACAGCTGAACTATACAAATTTTTTTTGCACTTTTGCGAACATCACGTGATTGAACCGCGACCTTAATGTTTTAACGTTATTTTGAGGAAGAAATCCTTGATTTAAATTTGAATTTTTCTAACTTTACTCATTGTTGAAATTTGACGTGTACTCTAATGTATGTCTGAAAACAAGGAAAGACAACTTTGAATACGAAGTTTTATTACGTTTTATAAAGGAATAAGGGAGAAATCAACGAAAAAAGAATTAAATTTTGAAGGTTAATTCCGAGAAAAATCAAGAGATGACGCTAGTTTCGAAGCAAGAATTTTGAATTTTGAAAAGGGCGCGAAGCTATGAGCCAATCAGAAACGAGGAAAAAACAGTTGGAGTGCCGGGGTATATAAGGAGATCGCGAACAGAGCACGAGAGAGTCGTCGTCTGACCAGCGTCGAATCCACGTCGTCAGATAGAAGAAATTTTGAATTTTAAGAGATAACCTCAAAATTTTAAGATAATTTTTTTAAAGTCAAATCAACTTACGATATTAAAATAAAAAGAAAATCATCCTACAACCTATTCCGAGAACTCCTGATACTTCTTCGAGATCATCCAAGACCCTATTTCCGAAGAACAAGCAGTCTTCCGTAGGAAGAATCCTGTAGAAAACCCAGAAACTAGATCGTACTTCGAATACAAGAGGACAATCCATAATCCAGATTCCACATTGAACTCCAATCCTTTCTATTTCGCAGTGAGTCGGATGATAATTTTATTTTCTTATTTAACATAACCTACAAAAAGAAAAATCAAAGAATCAAACTCAAAGAACAAATCACAAGAGTTTCATATAAATTTGATCAATACTTACTCGTCGGTAAAGATTTATTAGTTTTCTTGAATAACGTTCATTTATTAAACACTACTTTTATTTAACGAGTTTGATGACAATTTAAGACGTCGACCATTTTGTTATTTTCTAAGAACGGTTCTAACGAGTTTTATCCTACTCTCTCTCTCTCAAATAATAAACGAGTTCTCTCTAATATCGATATTTCAGTCGATAACCGCAGTTATCTATTTTATTTAAAAGTTATCTCTCGTAAATAAGCATTGTTATTAAAGTAAATTTAGGAAAACAATTTTATTTTTTTTTGTTACTCATAAAACGAGTTAATTTTATTTTGTGTTTAATTAAATGAATTTTTTGTCGAACCTGATTAGTTTCTTTTGAACCTGAACTTGCCCGAAACCCTGAGTTTAATAAGAGTCTCACAAATTTAAAGAAACCCAAATTTATAGTTAAATTATTTAAATTGTGTAAAAACGCACAAGCAAAACAAAACATTATAATACATTTAGAGAAAACCATCTAAAAGCTATTTGGAGAAAGAAGAACAAGTTAATAAGGTTGAGAGGTGAGAAGCGACAACGAGTTACCAACTCTAGAACACACATAAATTCAGACATCCATCAATTCCATCGTAGGATAACTAACCTTTCCAACACTGATTTCACACAACTGGAAATGAACATACTCAACAAAGGATATAAATATGCGCCTACAGCCATATTCCTGAACCTACCAAAGCTGGCTTATAGACATTGAAGATATGATTAGAGGTGCTCAAGAAGAAGAAACGTTAAAGAAAGATCTTATAGAAATTATTAAAAGAGAAGAGCGTAAAAAGGGCCAACAACCTACTAACAGCGACATCAAAGGAATCAAAGAAAACAAACAAAATATACGTAAGATAAAAACCAAAATAAAAGTTAATTCTCTAATAGTAACTAACGCTGACAAAAACGCTGGTTTGGTCATTTTAACCCTTCGTCTGTAAACGGTCTTTTATCACCTTCCGTCTGTAAAGGTGGGTCCGGCCGTGTTTAATCCTGTTAATGCACTCAAAAAATTTTATAAACAATTCGTGATAATGTTCGAAACCTTCAACCTGATAAATCAATCATAAAATTATCGAAAAATTTATTTTTACATACATATTTTTTATAAAAATTATTTGCGTAAACAGTTGTAGTTCGGACACGAAATACCCAGGTTTACAGACGAAGGGTTAAATAAGAACGATTACATAGAAAAAACCTTACAATTCTATAACGAAAATAATTTCACTGAAATAAAAAGAAATCCCACTTACACTTTTCATGCAAAAGTTAAAAAAATCGTTAAAAATACTTTAGATTTTTTAAAGACTAACGATTGTAAAATATTTTCCATACTACCGTTGAATCCAAAAATACCATTAGCTTACTTTCTTAATAAAATTTTAAAAACTTAATTTCCCTGTTAGACCTATTATCTCTTCCATCGACTCTAGCACCTACAATATTTCTAAATTTTTAATACAATTTTTTTTAAATAAGATTGTATTTAAAGCAGACTATTACTACAGACTATTACTATTACGCGACATTAATAACCGATACTACCTAATTAGCACTCTGCAAAACTTAAAATATCCACGTAATTTTACTATGATTTCGTTCGACATATCTAACTTGTACACGAACATACCTATAAGAGACACTTTAGATATCACCAAAAATTTACTAATTAATAAAATAGGCACTGATAATGCTACACATATGTACAACTGCCGAGGTAGTAGTTTAAATATTATAAAGCAATAAGTAAAGATTTCTCTACAATAGTAATGAATTATGATAATCCGAGGCTACTTTGCGGCCG